GACCAGTTCGTCTCTGTATTGAAATACCAGTTTTCAGTTTTTTTCGATTACCGTCACATGATAACATACAAGTACATGATAAATTGTCGATACTTGATAAGTTGCAGTTGCTCAATAAGCTAAACTAGTACTTGTTATTCGAATCTTTATGCAGTGATACTTGTTCTAATAAGTTGTTTATTTTATTTCTTTTATGCCCTAAATTCATGAAAGAAATGTCAAATAACTTGTTATATAACTGTAAATAATATAAAAAATATTAAAAATTAATTTTAAACAAATTTCTTTACACATTAGTTATTCTTTCACAATGCAGTCATTTTGACGGCTTTTGGGCAATATAGGTATATACTAAATTTCAGTCTTTCTAGTGTTAAAGGAGGAGACTCTAATCCTGGCTCCAGCCTTACCTCTGTCCCTCGTCCCAGGCTATCTTCCAAAGGTGTGCCCATGGTTACAGAGAAGTCAGTGTAGCAGAGTATGGATGACACAGAGTGGGATAAGCCAGAGCTCATGGCCAGAGCACAGGGCAAGTCTGCTTCAACTGTAGCCGTGGGCAGTTTGCCCGCGGGCTGGTCCGGCCTGTTCGGCTGTTCTATCCAGCCCGCGGAGCCGAAAGAGCGGAGGGTTCTCTTGCTCTCCCCTCCGCTCCTTCACCAGCAGCAGTGTTAACATGGCAATGTCGGGAAACACGGCTGCAGCTCCTTCTTCTGAGTCCAGTTTAAGAACCCATTGTGGCCCATGAGTCAAAAAGTTTGCCCACCCCTGTAATCATTTGTATATGAAGGTTAGCTCAGAAAGAACTTAGGCTTGGGAGGGCTGCAGAAGGCTATGGTCACAAGAATGGAAGGCTCCAGGCTCCTCTGCTGTTATTTCAGTGTGTGTGTGTGTGTGTGTATGTGTGTGTGTGTGTGAGAGAGAGGGGGGGCGGCAAAGATAGAGAGACTGACAGAGACAGAGAAAGAAATGAGTGGCCTCAGCAAACCAAATTTCTTGACTACAAAATGGGAAAAGTAGCAATTTTGTTCCTCAAAATGTATTTGGTGATGGGTGAGGGTGCCATCTATAATAATAAAAGCATAATATGCTAATTAGACTGGACAGCCCAACGACCTTCTGGACAATGTTCCGGATGAAGCCGGCGCTGCGAGGGCTGAGCCCCTTGCACGAATTTTGTGCACTGGGCCTCTAGGATATATAGCAAAAGAACCTGAGAAAAAAATAAGATAGCAAATACTACCTGAATTTTGTTTTAAAAACCCAGATTATAATTTATTCCATTTCTTACTGTGAAGCTGGGAGAATAGAAGATCCTACAGTGGAGAGAGTGAGGCCCATGGCAAAGAGAAGAGACTCAAGCCTGAACTCAGATTAGGCCAGAGTCCTGGGGCTGGCTCCAGGGCTGCCTGTTGCCCAGCCCTCCCTCCTCCCCAGCATGAGCCCTTCATCCTTGGTATAGAAATGGTAATTTTCTTCCTGCCTGCCTAGAGCCCAAGATGGAAGTTTTCCCTTCTTGCTCAACCTCTGGTCCCCTTATCTCACCCCTAATTATGAAGACTCAGAACTATGAGTCATGCTGAGAAAGTAACACTCTCCTGGCATTGCTATCACTGTCCTATGATGACTCTTTAGTAGCACCTGCTGAGATCTCTCCCTTGATACTTTCCAGCTACCTGTGCCTAGCATTCAAGGCCTGTGCCAATCAGCTACAAACCTATCCCACTACCCTTTGCTTCTCTACTACAGGCTGACCTGCTTCCCACACAACCCAGTTTCATTCATGAGATCATGTCTATCCACCCCTCTGCTTGCAGTGCCCCTAAATAAGAGTCTTGTCAATAAACAATCCAATAGAAAAAATGGGCAACGGACCTAGATAGACACTTTTCGAAAGAGGACATACAGAAGGCCGAAAGACATATGAAAACCTGCTCAAAGTCACTAATTATACGAGAGATGCAAATCAAAAGGACAATGCGTTATTATCTCACACCTGTCAGAATGGCTATCATCAACAAATCAACAAACAACAAGTGTTGGAGAGGATGTGGAGAAAAAGGAACACTTGTGCACTGCTGGACGGAATGCAG